CCCAGGTACGGCCTTTCCATGCCTCGCTTTCCTCCGCTCCGAAACCGGGCGGATGGTGGCATGTGAGGCTTACATGTGGCTAGAACAGCTCCTGGATCTTCGTTTTATTATTCTTTTAGAGACAGGGTGTGGCTCCGTGGGCCAACCTGGGCTCGGGTCTTGGCTCTCGAACTCTTGGCCTCGAGTGATCCTCCGGTTTTGGCGTTCCAAAATGCTAGGATTACAGGCGTGAGCCACCACACGCTCAGCCCAGGGGGTCTTTTTTTCTTTTGGGGGGGAGACAGCGTCTTGCTCTGTTACCCAGTGTGCGGTGGTGGTCATAGCTCACTGCAGCCTTGAACTCCGGAGCTCAAGCAGTCCTCTTGCCTCAGCCTCCCGAGTAGCAGGCACGGTAGGCACAGCCACCGTGCCTGCTTATATTTTTATTTTTTGTGGAGACGAGGTCTCACTATGTTGCTTAGGCTGGTCTCCAACTCCTGGCCTCCAGTGGCCTCCCACGTCAGCCCCCCAGAGTGCTGGGATTTTAAAAGTATGTGCCGTCACACAGGCCCTTCATCATTCCTTGGCAGGAGTTTGCACACCTTCCAGTTCTGTCTTCAGCCTCTTGCCTTCTGTCGTGCAGGGGCTCTCAGCCTTGGCACTGCTGACACTTGGGCGGATCAGTCTCTGGGGTGGGGAGTCCCGTGCACTGCAGGGTGTTGAGCAGCGTCCCTGGCCTCCCCAGCTATGCCTGTGGCACCCCCATGTGACAGTAGTAGTGTCTTCAGATCCAATGGGATTCGTGTCCGTATAGGAGAAGGCACCAGCACTCATTTGCCCACTCTTCCCACATGCCCACAAAGAAGAGGCCACATGAGCACCTGGGAGGTGGCAGCCGGCTGCCTTGGGCCAGGAGAAGAGGCCTGAGGGTGAAGCCTTCCTTGCCAGGGCCTTGGTCCCAGACTTCTGGCCTCCAGGCCTGTGAGAAGTAAAGTTACATTGTTGAGCCACGCACTGTGGGGTGTTTGCAGCCTTAATACTAACAGAGGCCCTCGAGTGCAGTGAGGACCAACAGGGGCCTGTCCATCCTTCCAGAGCTTCACCACCATCTTCTTGTCTCCAGCTGCCGGCAGTCTTCACAGGCACGGCTCTAGTGCTATCCGACCCCTGTTTTAGACCCTTCCTAAATCCCTGTGGCCCAGGGCATGGCTGGACTACCACCAGCTGCAGGGGACAGCCAGAGTGCCTCCTTTTTGTACACCTTGTGAACTGAGAATGGTTTCTACATTCTAAAAGGTTGGAAAAGAAGAAAAAGCAGACTGGGCTCAGTGGCTCAGCCTGTAGTCGCAGCACTTTGGAAGGTTGAGGTGAGTGGATTGCCTGAGGCTGTGGGTTCGAGACCAGCCCGGGCAACTTGGCGAGACCTCATCTCTACAAAAAATTAAAAAAAAAAAAAATTAGCCGGGCGTGGTAGCATGTGCCTATAGTTCCGGCTACTTGGAAGGCTGAAGTGGAAGGATTGCCAGAGCCCAGCAGGTTGGTGCTGGGGTGGCTGTGAGCATGCCACTGCACCCTAGCCTGGGCAACAGAGTGAGACTCCAACTCAAAAAAAAAGAAGAAAAAGCAAGAGGAAGGATCTGTATGAAATTCAAACGGTCACTGTCTGTAAAGTTTTTTTTTTTTTGAGTTGCAGTCTCACTCCATCACCCAGGTTAGAGCTCTATGCTGTGGAATGCTCATGGTTCCCCCAGCCCCCAGCGTCAACCCTCTGGGCTCAGGTGATCCTTCCGCCTCAGCCTTCCAAGTAGCCGGAACTACAGGCGTGCGCTACCACACCCAGCTAATTTTTTATTTTTTGTAGCCAAGTGGTCTCGCCAAGTTGCCCAGGCTGGGCTTGAACCCGTGGGCTCAGGCAATCCTCTCACCTCGGCCTCCCAAAGTGCTGGAATCACAAGCTTGAGCCACACAGCCCAGCCTGTAAAGTTTTATTGTAATACCACTTGCCCATTTTTTTTCTTTTTTGAGTTGGAGTCTCCCTTTGTCGCCCAGGCTGGAGTGCAGTGGCATGCTCATAGCCACCCCAGCATCGACCTGCTGGACTTAGGCAATCCTTCCACCTCAGTCTTCCAAGTAGCTGGAACAACAGACACACACCACCACCCCCAGCTAGTTTTTGTGATTTATTGTAGAGATGAGGTCTTGTCAAGTTGTCCAGGCTGGTCTTGAATCCCTAGGCTCAGGCAATTCTCTCACCTCAGACCCCAAAGTGCTGGGATTACAGGCTGAGCCACTGTGCCCGACCGTGTGTAAAATTTTATTGAAACACTGCCCTCCTATTCCAGCCATCACTGTAGATAAAGTTTTATTGGCACACCACCTTCCCGTCAGACACCACTCTCTGTTGATAAAGTTTTATGGGAACGCCAACCACCTAGTCCAGATGTCACTGTGTACAAATAAAGTTTTACTGGAACACCACCTGCTCATCCTTTTCTGTATTGTCCATGGTTGTTTTCATGTTAGAGCAGCAGCCAAGTGGTTCCTTATTGTGACATTGCCCAAGTGGCCTGCAGAGCTGAGAATATTCACCGTGTGGCCGGTTATGGAGAAAGGTGCCCACCACAGGCTATAGGGACAGGGCTGAGTCTGCCAGCTGATTCAGGACGCTTCTAGCCCCAGGTCCTCTGTAGCTGAACTGCTGGGCTCATCCACTCTGGTGTCTGCAACATTCTCTCCCGCCCCAGGGCCCAGGCCTTGTTGAACACTTGTCTTGGGATGTCCTCTCATGTGTCAGCCTACCATGCATTGCCACACGTCCCCTACCCCTGTGTTGCCCAGGTGCCTGGTGCTGGTTGCTCCATGTCCCTCTTCCTGTTGAGGTACCCAGCCTCAGGCTGTTCTTGGTGGTGCTGGCACAGTCCCGAGCTCCAGCAGGGGGCACTGTGCAGGTCCCAGCAAGGAGTGACTGAGCCCCTCATTCTCTCATAGGAAGCCTTCTACGGTTGGCCTCAGCACGTCCGGCGGCACCAGGATACAGGGTAGAAGAGCGCAAGGTGAGCGACCCAGGGCCATTCAAGCACGGATTTTCCTCTCTTCGAAGCACTTCTGCAATTGGTTTTGGGGAGGAAAAGACCAGAGCAGGGGCATGTGACTTGACTTCCTTGGGTGTCGCGCCTCTGGAGACCCATGTCTGACCATCCTTGCCCCATGGCCAGGCACATGATAGGAGATGGTGGTGGTCACTTTGGGCCGTGGGCAGGATGCGTCCCTGGGAAGCAGGGGTGTGGACACCAGGAGCTGACGCGTTGTATTCACTGGGGTCTCGGTTCCTGATGGGTTCCTGCCAAGTCCTGTTAGTGGGTGGGGTCACTCGTAACAACCCCTCCACCCAAGGACCCTCAGCTGAACCAGCTTGGGAGTGGATTCTCAGGTCCCCCCAGGGGAACCCAAGCCTGTGACGTGAAAGAGTGTTTCCTCAGTGTGTGCAGGGACAGTGCCTGACGCAGAACCTGGAGCAGGGTTTAGTTCAGGCGAGTCAAGGTCACCTGCCACCCATCGTGGGTTGGTCTCACCTAAAGCCTGTTGTGTGTGTGCTGCCTGATTCTCACACCTTCTCGCCCTTCACTGCAGCAGTGCTTCTGCAGAAGGTCCTCTGCAGGTGTGTAGAGACAGACAGGTGTGTCCTGGTTTTCTGGACACTAGAAACCACTTTTCTCCCACCGTCCCAGGCAGCAGGGCCTCAGTGAAGCCATCAAGTGAAGACCTTTGTTGATGTTTTCCGATGGACCCAAGCGAGTGGAGCCCTTTGCCCTGCTGCTTGATGGCCATCTGGCGGCAGACCCTCCTGGTCTTGGTCTGTCCCTGCCAGGTCCTAGCTTTGATCCTTGGCTGTGTGCCTGTGCTGTGGTATCCTGATGTCCCCACTGCCGAGACCCACTGGTCCTGTCTGAGCACACGCACTCTGCGGACGCAGCTCATACTGCCCTGGGGACCCTCACATTGGCAACCCAGAGGGATGCCCCATTAACTGCGGTGCCTCCTTTCCACCAGGGTTGCCCTTGCACCCTAGTCCCCAGTGGAAGAATCAATTCCTGGCACGAAGATGAGGTAGAGTCACAACCTCACTCAGCCACCTCGCAAGCCAGGTGACGTTGTGCACATCACTCTCAGGGTCTCTTCAGTACAAAGGAAACCTCTGAACTCCCCAGACACCTATAAAAATGGAGATTCTGTTTACCTGACAGACCCCTGGATGCTTCGTGCTGCCAGGTGGTGGAGTGGGGCAAAGACGGGCAGGTGCCCGGCCCCTGGGGCTCTAAGGAGATAAGTGGCCATGCTAGGCGGCGATGCTTTGGGACAAAACAGGTGCAGGGCCACAAAGGAGGAGCTTCCTGCCAGGGAGGCACACGAGGACTCAGGGCAGCTGAACTGCGTGAGTGAGTGGTGAGGCGATGGCACAGGCAGGAGCCTGGCCCAGGGCCCTGAAGGCACCAAGGCCCTTCGAAGGCTGTCCTGTCTCTGCCCCAGGGGAGCAGCCTGCGGCCACATGGCTCAAGCACAAGTGGCAGCTGTGCCCAGAGCAACCGGACAGCACCGCTGGGAAGGATGAGAGTGACTGTGAGCTCAGGGTCAGGGCTGGGGTCTCACCCTCCAGAGTCTTGGCTTGGTGGCAGGTCTGAAAGCTGGACTGGGTGTTCGAGGGAAGGAGGAGGAGAGGAGCCGGGGCATACGCTGGTGTTTACTGCAGAGGAGAGTGGAGGAATGGGGGTACACCGGTGGGTGTGAGGTGCAGGGTTGGGGGAGGCGAGAGTGCTGGCATCACTCTGGAAGTGAGGGCTGGACTCTAGTGGCCACAGTGGAGGGTTTGTTGGACCCAGGAGCATGGTGGGCCCTCCATAGGGGGTGCAGGATATACCCTGAGGTGGGGGCGCTGGTGGTGGTGGAGGGAGGGGCTCTTAGGGCTGCTGTCCTTGCTGAGATTCAGGGTAGCCAGACTTGGCAAGAGAGGGAGGGTCCAAGATGGACGGGACAGGACCAGCCGCGTCCATTCAAGAATCACCAGCCCGGAGGCAGAGTGAGGGTGTCACCAGCCCGGAGGCAGAGTGAGGGTGATGTGTGCTCCATCCACATTCAGCCTTGCTGGTGGAAGGGGCCCGACCTGGTTGGGCACACCAGGCTTATGTGAAGAGACCTGTGCCTGAGTGTGTCTCGGAGAGGGGTCCTGAGCAGGAAAGGGATGGGAAGTGAGAGGCCATACCAAGAGAGGGCCCCAGACACATGCAGGTGGGGGAAGGTGTTGTTGGGGTCCCGTCCAGGGGGCTGAGCTTCCCCACCCCACGTGCGCCGACATGTGCTTGGGGCTTTGACCCTTGGGCATATTCCTGAGTCTTCCATCATCTTAGCTCCCTGCAACTGTGACTCCACCTCTAACCCAGGGACTTTCACACAGTAGGTGTCCCATACATGTTGTTGCACACAGTAGACACCCCATACATGCTTAAAGGTGCTGCAGGACACGATCAGAGCAGGAAGAGTGGTTGCTCTTTTGTGGTTGAGCAGGAAGGCTGGCAGTGTCCAGACCTCGCAGTGTAGGGTCCCGGCCATGTGCGGGGACTTCATAGTCCATCATGGTGGTTGTGTTATAACCCAGCTGTGTGTCCCCACAGGAGCAAGAGTGGTTGAATCCCGATACCTGCAGTATGAGAAAAAGGTGACCAAGAAGGTAAGTCAGTGCTTAGCATACAGTTGGAGCGACTCTGGGTGTGGTTCTTTCTGTGGCTGGGAATTCTGCGACAAGTCTGCGAACTGGCCCCAGGTCCTGGAGCGGGCGGGAGAGTCTGCTGGTGCTGGAGGTGTCGTGCAGTCGTGAGCCTGCCCTGAGTAGCTCGTGGCTCTCAGTGTCCCTCTTACAGAGCTGGTCTTCACCTTGAGGTATTCTCCCCATTCAGCCCCATAGTCCACTCCTGGCACAGGACTTGGTGCACGACTGGCATTGGACCATTCCTCCAGGCTTTTAGGGAAGAACCAGACAAAGACGACATGCTTGGCTTCTCCAGGATTAGGGAGAACTAGGGACATCATTGACAGTGGCAGATGGGTAGTGCTTGGCTGCGTGGAACTTGCTTGGGGTGTGGTTTCGTGAGAACCAGGAGCAGATCGCTGATTGCATATATTCTTTCAGGGAAGTCAGGTTGGATTTCCCCCTCCGTCTTCCAGATCTTGGATTATGATAAAATTGTTTCAAGTACTCATTCCCACTGCCTGTCTCCTTCCACCCTGGGCCGTGACCACGGGTTCGTGGCCCTGTAACTTAAGACTTGGTGTGAGAAAGCCGATCCTGAGCACAAACTGATAGTCTCCTCGGAGTGATTTTCTGCAAAGGATCACCATCCTGTGCATCTGATTCTGGTGTTCTGTGTGAGCTTGGTGACAGCGCCCCCACGTGTCTGCCTGCTGTCATGCTTTAGCTCTTTAAGAACTTTTCTGGGTTTTGTTTTTTTTTCATGTTTTACTTTTTTATTTTGTAGGGACGGGTTATAACCTTGTTGCCCAGGCTGGTCTCAAACTCCTGGTCTCAGGTGATCCTCCTGCCTCAGCCTCTCAAAATGCTGGGGTTACAGGTACGACTTCCGTGCTGGACCTCATTTTTTAAGTTGAGGCGTAATTGACATAACGTTGCGGTCCGCCTGGACTTCCGACAGTCTTGACAAGCACAGTCACAGGCCACCTCCACGGTCAAGATGCAGAGCAGTCCACCCCTCACACTACTTGTGCTCTGATGGAGTTAGCTTCCCACCCCAGGGACCCCCAGGTCTGTTTCCTGCCTCTGCAGCTCTGTCTTCTAGAGGGTATCAGTGGCCTCACATCACGTCTAGCCTTTTGTGTGTGGTCCTGACACTTAGAGTAGGTTCCAGGCTCCTCCCTGTGGTCTCAGGTGGCATTGCTGCTCCCTTCTTACAGCCGAATAACGTTCCATTGAGTGGATGGCCCAGTGTGCAAAAGACATTCACTCGCTTTCCCATTGGTGATTATGAACCAAGCCCTGTGAACATTCCTGTGTGAGCTTCTGTGAGGTTGTGTTCTCTTCTCTCCCAACAGTGGGATTGCTGACTTGTGAAAGAACTCAAGCACTCAGCAAAACAGCAGTCAACACAGAATACTCTGTGACTACTGTCAGGGCAAGTGTCCTCACCAGCAAGCAGTGGACACCAGTGGAGTGTTCTGTAGTTCTGATACCATCTGCTCAGGTATCAGATTGGGAGATAGCATCGGGTCCCAGAGATTGAAGGTTCATGCCCCAAGACCACACCCCCACCAGATACCAGTCTTCAGCCCCCAAGACTGCAACCCCCCTAAACACCAGTCATCAGTCCCCAAGATCACCCCCCCTTAGACAACAGTCGTCAGTCCCCAAGACTACACCCCTCCAGACACCAGACATCAGTCTCCAAAACTGCGCTTTGCCTTAGACTCCAGTCATCAGTACCCAAGATCGCACCCCCCTTGGACAACAGTCATCAGTCCCCAAGACCACACACCTAGACACTAGTCATCAGTCCCCAAGACCACACCCCGCCTTTAGATGCCAGTCTGGGTCTCCAAAATTTCTGGCCAACAGCTTCAAGTTGGGGGTTTCCACAGCCTCCTCTTTGGTTTTGACTAATTTGTGGGAGCAGCTCACAACTCAGGGAATCGTGTTTACTGGTTTATTATCAAGGTTATTACAAAGGACATAAATGGAACCAGGCATGGTAGCTTGTGCCTGTAATCCCAGCTTCTTGGGAGGCCAAGACAGGAGGATTTCTTGAGGCCAGGAGTTCAAGACCAGCCTGGGCAGCACAGTGAGATCTCATCTAAAATAATTTTAGGCTGGGCTTGGGAGGCTGAGGTGAGTGAATTGCCTGAGACTGAGGGTTCGAGACCCGCCTGGGCAACTTGACGAGACCTCATCTCTACAATAAATCAAAAATTAGCCAGGCGTGGTAGCGCGCGCCTGTAATTCCAGCTATTTGGAAGGCTGAGGCGGAAGGATTGCCGGAGCCCATCAGGCCGGGAGCGGCCACTGCACTCCAGTCTGGGCGCCAGAGTGAGACTCCAACTCAAAAATAAAATAAAATAAAATAATTTTTAGGTTATCCAGGCCTGGTGGCTGCAACAAAGGGTACAGATGACGAGACTCAGAGAGTGAGGTTTGGGGGCCCTCTGAACCCAGTCCTTCTGGGCTTCGCAGAGACCTCTTTATGCTGGCAGCGTTGAGTCATGGACAGCTGTGTCAAAATGCAATTGGACAAAAAGGGCATGATCTCAGCCCAGCAGGGCCGGCCTGTCTAGATTCTTCTTGGCCTCTCTGCGCATTTCTTCCTCCAGGAGCCTAACTGGCAGGTGGAAGGAGGGTAGAAGGAGATCAGGGAGACATGGTGTTTCCTGCACCAGGGGTAGGAGGGCTGTGGGCATGAGAGCCAGGACCTGTGGATGGAAGCCACGTATGTATACGTACCCATATATAATGAGGCCAAGATGAGAAACTGTCCAACTCCTACCCAAAGTGCCTATGCTGTCTCTATATTCTCAGCAGGCACACAGGAGTGTTCCTGTTGGTGCTTCTACATGTTAGCCATTCTCGTGGGTATGCAGTGGTAGCTCGTGGTGGCTTCAGTTTGCCTTTCCCTAGCAGTCGATGACAGAGCATTTTCCCATGTGCTTATGTGCCATCCCCGTGTCTTAAGTGATGTGTCTGCTCCCATCTTTTACCCATTTTCTTTTCTTTTTTTTTTTTTTTGAGTTGGAGTCTCATTCTGTCGCCCAGACTGGAGTGCAGTGGCCGCTCCCAGCCACCGCAGCCTCGACCTGCTGGGCTCCGGCGATCCTTCCGCCTCAGCCTTCCAAGTAGCCAGAATTACAGGCATGCACTACCACGCCCGGCTGATTTTTTTATTTATTGTAGAGACGAGGTGCTGCCCAGGCGGGTCTCGAACCCGCGGGCTCAGGCAATCCACTCACCTGGGTCTCGAACCCGCGGGCTCAGGCAATCCACTCACCTCAGCCTCCCAAAGGCACGGGATTACAGGCTGAGCCACCGAGCCCAGCTTACCCATTTTCTGATTGGGTTGTTTTCTTACTGAGTTTTGAGTATTCTCTCTATATTCTGTATACCAGCTTTTTATGAGACTTTGCAAATGTTTTCTTCTAGTTTGTGGCTTTTTTTTTTTTTTCATTCTGCTGTGTCTTTAATCAGCAGAAGTTGCTGGTGTTAATGAAGTTGCTTGTCAATTCTCTGCATTTGCGGAGTGTTTTCTGGGGTTTTAGTAGAGATATCTCTGCCTAATTCAGAAGTTACAGCTATTTTCTCTTTTGCCTCCTTGTAGGAGTTTCCGTATTTAGGCCTTGGGTTACGTCCATGATTCACTTTGAGGTCCTTTTTGTGTGGTGATGTTACAATCGAAGCTCATTGTTTGGTGTGAGGATGTTTGGTTGTTCTAAACCATTTACTGAAGTGACTTTCCCTGTCATACTGTCTTCTTTCCTCTGTCATCAGCCAGTTAGCATATGTGTGCATCGTGCCGGACTCAACTGGTTCCCACTGTTCTACGTGTCCGTCCTTCTGCCACATCCATGCTGTCAGGATTCCTATGCCTTGGTACCGTCTTAATATCAGTAGAGACCCTCCCCCACTGTTCCTGCCCGAAAGAACAGTGTTCTTCTAGTTCCTTTGTCTTTCCATAGAAATTCTAGAATTAGCTTGCCATGTCCTAGCGAAACTCTCGCTGGTATTTTGATTGTATTGAATCCATGAATTGGTATAGGGAGAATGCCTTCTAAGAAACACTGATTCCTTTCCCCTTCCCAAAAAACAAAACACATTGAGTCTTTCAGTCCCTGAACATGATAAGCCTTCTTAAAAACACTGAATCTTTCTGCTCAGGAACATGGTACACATTTTCGATTATATAAATCTTGGATATCTTTCATCACTGCTTTGTAGTTTTCAGAATATAGCTCTTACGCATGTTTTGTTGGGTTTAAACCTAAGTATCTTGTGTTGTTTAGAGCTATTGTCCATGGTGCTCTCTTTTTATTTCAATCTCCAAACTTGTTCATTGCTAGAAATGTGACTCTTTTATGTCAATCCTGTATTCGGCAGCCCTGCTGCGTGAGGGTTCTCCAAAGAAATAGAGCCAACAAGAGACATGTCTAAAAGGAGAATTTGTTTATGAGGAATTGGCTCTTGCACTTATGGAGGCTGAGAAGTCCCAGGGCCTGCTCTCTGCAAGCTGGAGAGCCAGGCGAGCTGGTGGCATTGTTCAGTTTGAGGCTGAAGGCCTGAGACCAGAGAGCCAATGGCATAAATCCCAGTCTGAGGGCCAGGGATGAGGTTTGGGGTCCCGGCTCACGTGGGCAGGCAGGAAGCACAAGGGCTGGAGTTCCCTTTCCTCCTCCTCTGTGTTCTGCTCAGGTCCTGGATCGGATGGTGCCCCAGTGATGGGGAGGGCCGTCTGTAGAGTCCACCAACGCTCCCCACACTCATCTCTTCAATGAGCCCCCTCACGAATACGCCCAAAAGTGTTTAATCTGGGTGCCCCATGGTCAGTTAGGTTGGCACACAAAATTGACCATCACACTTGCTAAACTTACTAGTTTTAGTGCTGGTTTTGGGAATTTCTATATGAAGACTCCTGTCTGCAGAAAAAATTTTCCTTTTCCCTATCCAACCTGTTTGTCTTTAATTTCTCATTCTGACACCTACTCGGTGATGTTGAATGGGAGTGGTGTCTACATTGTAAGATTCTTGCTCTGTTTTTTAGAGACAGGGTGTAATGCTGCTGCCCAGGCTGGAGTGCAAAAGCAGGAGCATGGCTCGTGGCAGCCTCTAGCCCCTCCCGAGGAACTGGGACTACAGGTGCATGCCACTGTGCCCAAATAGTTTTTTAAAACCTTTTTAGAGACAAGGTCTCACTATGTTGCCCAGGCTGCTCTTGAACTCCTGGCCTCAAATGATATTCCTGAGTTGCTGGGACTATCGGCATGAGCCACTGTACCTGCCCTTTCTCTTTTTTTTT